ATTTAAAATTATGATGATAATAAATATTTTTATTTATTTTGAAAATAAATAATCAATCTAAAATTATTTTATCATAATAAATAATTATTTATCTAATTAAAAAATATCAAATATTTATAAGTTAAATTTATTTTTTATTTAATAATATAATCTAGTTATAATTAGATTATGATAATTAGTTAGATTAGGTAATTTTAAAAATATATTTATTAAAAAATTAATTTAAAATAAATACTTAGTTTTTTTCTTAATAATTATAGCATAAAAATAATATTTGTAATTTTTAAATTTATCATATAATATTTTTTAAATATATTATATTAAATTATACTATTTCTAGATATTTAAATATTTTATTTTTTAATAATAATAAAAGACTCACCTTATCAAATTTTATTTACTATTTTTAATTGAAGAATAAGATGGAATAGATAGGAAAAAAGAAAAAAATACTAAATGGACACAGGAACAACAAAAAATAATAATAAGAACTAAACAAAAAGAGAAAAAAATAAGAAAAAAAAACACTAAATGGATACAAGGAAAAAAAAGAATAATAAGAAGTATACAAAGAGAGAAAAAGAAAGTAAGGAAATAAATAAAGAAAGAGAAAAAAATAGTTGTATTATATGAGACAAAATTTATTTTTCGTTGCAGTGCATGAATATTAAACTAATTTAGTTGGATAAATAAATTTAGAAAATGTTCTCTGTAAGTAATTTTTCTTTTTAAATATATTATTTATGGGATTGATTTCATTCTTCACTTAACATAATTAATTATTTGGTAGATAATTAATTATTTTCTTTAGTTTTTAAAATTCATTTTCGCAAATAATTAGTTAAAACAGAAATAAGGGATTAAGTTATTTGTAATGAGTTTTTAAAATTACTGAGCAATGTAGTCAACTATAACTATTCATAATCTATTATATCCATAAAAAATTCTTTCAACTAAGTTTAATCCATCATATTAAAAAGTGATGAAATAAAAAACATTTAATACTTTTCAAATAACTCAAACTCCAATAAGTTTCGAGATTCTCATTTTCACTCTTGCTTAAGGATTAAAGAGAATAGGTCATTGTATATTTGTTCTATGGAAAAAGATATTTTGACACCACTATTCACACAAACAACCTTGTAAACAACTGCATTTTATATTATAATAATAATTTTAACTATTTTTTATTTTTATTTAAACTCTTTCATGATTATTATATTAATAAAATGGGTTATTTTTTGGGTTGTTTTTTCTTTCGTTGTCAAAAGATCATCACCCTTGTTCTATTTTGGTAAAATTCTCAATTACATATAGGTGATACCCTTCCAACACTGATTCTTATTATTGTGAATTATATGGACCTAGGTGCAGTGTGTTAGCGTAGTAGGTTTTTTTACACATGTTGTGTGGCTTCTTAGTAGGTTTTAAAAGTCTTTTCATTCTTAGGGGATTGCATAGTACATGTGTGAATGTAATTTTTACTTTCAAGATTTAGTGAAACAATCCGGTTAAAGTTATTTGAATTACATTGGATGTAGATTCACCTAGAACCAAACCAAAATAAAGTTATTATGTACATTCTTATTGCACATAAACCATTAATTATGTATCTTATAAATTTATTGTAAAAATTATTTAAATAAAGAGTTTTAAGATGTTTTATATCATTTTTCTAAAAGTTTCAAATCAACCAATTCACCCATCTTGATTGTGATCAATATCCATTCCTTTTATACAAAAGTTTATACCTTATAAAACGTTCTTTAACCTTTTAGCATTATTCTCCGCCATGCACTAAAATTGTTGTATGGTATCACCTATTGGTTTGAACATATGTTAGAATCCATATGAATTTCCCTTTATAAAGGTTTCAGTGTCACAATGGATATATTTTATGATATATTTAATACAATATACTTAAAAAAGGAGATGTTTTCATGGAAAAAAAAAAAAAAAACTAAAACTTCATTTGCATTGAAAACCTCAAGTCTACTAAGGTTTGCTTTTGAAAGATAATTTTTATTTTAAATCTTTCACTTTGTTAAGTTAGTCTTTCATCATCAAGAAAGTAGTTATATATCTTATCTTTCTTTTAAGACTATCTTTCTTATACTTTTTTAAACTATTTTTTGTGTTTCTTCATGAAGACACTTAGTCTCCTCATGAAAGTTAATAGTAACTCATTGATAAAAGAATATTAATTTCTTTAACTAAGGAAATTTAAGAAATTGTTAATAATGACTTGTATAAACTCATTGTAAGTTAGAATTAGTAAATTAAAATGCCTTGTTATAATATTTTGATTATATAGTAGAACTTTCTTATAGTATATTAGAAAAAAATTAGACATAGCTTGATGAGTAAAACATGTGTAAAAATAAATGTTTTTATATACATTCGTCCTATAAGTTTTTACATTATATCTTCTATTACTTTGTTTTAAATATTATTTTCTCATTTGCTCTAACATTTTATCTTTGCAAAAAAAAAATTATATTATTTGTAACAAGTATTTTATAATTTCTAAGAAATTTAAGTACCCTAAATTTGAATTTCATTTATTTAAAATGATTTAATTTTTCAAATGATTTATTTGGATAACATAATTCAAATTCATTAAAATTTAATTTTCTTGTTTAAATAAAGTATTACTGTTAAATATCAAAATTATTATTATTATTATATTATAAATTAGGTCTAGTTGATAATACTTTATCCTTATCCATAAGGGTAAAGTTTGACTGAGACGAATCATGAAGTCAAAGAAAATTAGGACACACCAAACTAATATGATCATATCCAATTAAGATAAATTGTACAAGTATTAAAAATATTAGGAGATATTTATTTCTTTGAGAAGAATGTAATTTCAATATAAGAATTTAGATAGATTCAAAATCAACAAAATCTTATGGATTATTCTTCATTCTTTTTCTTGTTCAAACTCTGTGTCTTATTTTTTTTATTGTTATTCGCAACTTTCCCTCCTTCCTTAAATCGGGTTAGGTTGATAGGTTCGAATCAGTCAAGCTAAGTTAGGTTATGTACAAATGGATCAAGTTGAATCATAAATGAATAGGATAAACCAAAATTAGATAAGTTGGCTTAGGACAAGACAAGTGTGTCGAGCTAGAGGATATGAATCGTATCAGACCAAGATGAGCCAAGTTGGGATAGGTTCGATTAGTAGATCAAGCCTACTTTGGATAGTTTGATCAAATCTAATTAAGAAATGTTGGATTAAATTAGAATAATTCAAGTCAAAATGAGTTAGACCAAGTGAATATAGGTTAGGTTAGGGTAATGTAGGATGAACCAAATCGATAACAATAAAATCAAGACAATTCTTGATGATGGTTAGAATGTGTCGAATTGGTTCAAACCAAGTTAAAATAAGTCTATCTTGAACTAAATCATACTTATTTGCGTCGACCAATATTGAAACAAGGCGAGACGAGTAAAATATATCTTAAAACTCTAAGAAAAAATATAAAGGAAAGAGATGTAAATTAAAAAAAAATCAACTTTTTTTGGTAAAATTTAAAATTCTCTTATTTTAAATAATCAATTATCATCGTCAATTTCTAAAATTTCAATAGTTTTCAAATTTTATATCCAATCAACTAATTGTATCAAAAAATATTCCAAATACTTTATTAAAATGAATTATTATCACTAAATACTTCCTCTAAACACAAGTCAAACTCTACATAAACTCTCTTTTTTTTTCTTAGGATTAATTATCATTTCAACATTTAATTTTATTTGGTTGAGTATACATGGTATAATTTGTCTAATAAAGTATAATTTTAGTTTTTCTTCTACTGTTTTTATATTTCAAAACATATTTTACACTGGTTTATAAAAACAATGATATGGATATTACTTTATAAAAACACTAGCCTTAAAAACTAGTTAATTGTAGTTTGTAAAAAAAAAACCCTAGCATGATACTCCTTCACTTCCTTTTAACCCTTTTCTGATTTTCATTAAAATATTTGTTTCTCAATTGGAAACCCTTTAATTAATCTCTTCCTCATCATTTCACATTCCAATACACCCAATAATGGTTTTCACCCTTTCAATAGTAGAATGTCTGTTTATGGACAGAATTGGAATGTAAGTTAATGGATAAAATTGATTCTGGTAGTAAATCAAACCCAACAGGCAAGATTAGTTGGCAGCAAACATAACTTGACAAATATTGCAAACTATGGAACAATTCAATTCACAAAAATTCCAAAAATAACCCTGGCACGGATTGATAAAAAAAAAATGGCAACTTGTAAAGGCATACGTAATTCATGGCTCATCACTGAAAAGACAAAATCAGGGACTGTAAATTTTTTGGTTGACAAGATGGGTTATGTAGGACATTTCTTGAACATTATACCGACAAAGAAAATAATCACAAGGGCAAGGGAAAGTTATTAATGACAGGATTGAAAGTGGTTTGATACTCATGAGACAAATCCCATTTTTTTTTAAATAAGACTTAAATATATTTGAAAGATTTCATATAACTCATGGAGAGTGGTCAATCAATTGAATTAGACTTTTTTTCAACAATAAAAAAAATAACAATGCTATATTAATAAATAACAATTTCAAACATGCCAAAGACATAGTAAACTTCATTACATTATTAAGAGAACACACCACAGAATCCATACTACAAACAAATTTTATTCTATTTCCTGAATAAATAATAATAATCCAATTCACATGACAAAATCCACAAAGATGTAAAATACACAACAAACAGAGTATATCATGTGCAAAGATATAATCAATACATGCAATGAATACACAAAGACACACACACATACACATATATATAGTGGTCAGAAATAGCGGCTAATAAGATTATTCACACAAAAAATTTGAGACACGTATTTGCAGCTTCTCAATAATGGTAGATATTGGCATAAACAATTCATGCCCTAACAAATATTCTGGTTATAACAAAAAGGAGTGTCAATTCAAATGGTTTTAACTTGGTAAAGAATAATATATACTTCCTAGCAAGAACAATGCAAAAGCAAAGGTGTAATCAACATCAAAGGAAGAAAATAAGGCCTTCAGATTCTGCTGGTAAAAGTATAGCATCATGCAGCAGCAGAAGCATTAATAAGCCTTGATTTACACAATAACAGAGGAGAGAAATTAGACAGAATAACGTTAACATTTTTGTTTGTTTGTTTGTTTTTTTCTTTGTTCAATTACAATGATTAGGAAGAAAATATATAAATTTGAAGCAGATGATGAGTTTGTAGACGAAGGAGGGAGAAAGGGACAGGACAGAGAAGAGTTAATTCCACCCCAATAATGGTAGATGAGATGAATGGCTGGGCATTAGCGATGGTCTGAATTGCAGACAAGAACAAAAGGAAAAAGAGAGTACATCATGCCTTGATGAATACAGTAATTTAGCAGGCTGTTTAGGCATCAGTGAGATGTTGTGACCAATAAACTAGCATGACAGGGACTCCCACATTACTGAAAATGACCTTTCAACTACTTCTCATGCCAAAGTCTAAAGCACCACCACCATCACTCACCCACATTTATTTCTACTCCTTTCTAAACCCAAACAAACCAACATCACACCACAACAAGAGGTCTCCATGTTCTGTTATAAAAATATAATATCATCATGAGTTTCCCCAACCCTAGCAATGTCTAAAACATCAAAATAGCATGTACAGAGAAAAGGAAGCATACCCTTATGCCATAAATATCTCATGTGCTCAAAACATACACACTCAATACATAAAATATATTATTTCACCTTCATCAAAATTATTAACACCATACATTTTAGGTTTTATGTTGGTATGTGGAGTTTGCATTGTAACCAAACTCTAATACGCAAATCTTAAATAATTCTGTCTTATATATAAACTCTTATATATAATTCGAATAACCTGATGTAATATGGTAGGATTTTTAAAATTAAAACTGGATTTTACATAAGATTACGAATATCATAATATTTCAATATCATTAACCGTATCACGAATCACGATTAAATTAATTTTAAAATTATAAAATAAAATATAACTAAAACATCATAAAAACACAATTTTTATCAAATTTTAATATTAAAAAATATAAAAATATAATTGATTATTTCAAAGTAGTGTGATATGAAGAAAAGTATTTAAAATAGAACAGCACCTTAACTTTCCGAAATTCAAAAGGGAATAATATAGGACAGAAGCAAAATGCAATATGGCACCAGTAGTAATATTATTCCTATATTCATTATTCATTATTTTTATCATCCTACATGAATCTCTACAATGGAAATTGTTTAAAAAAATTATTACCAACTATAATAGTAGTAGTAAGTCTTAATTAAACCATGTTTGAATTCGAACAGTGAATATGGTGAAACGAAGATTCTTTTCGGATTTGGTTTTCAATTCTCAGTTAATTTGGTCCATAAACCATTCGAATGACATGATGTGGCTCCTCTGTAATCCACCATCTGCTCATGCAATGAGTCAACTATGAGAGAAAATTGCACTAAAAGGAACAAAAACCGAGGAGTTGAAAAATGCAGATAGTGACATATGTTAGAAGATACAAACATAGAAGAATATTAATTAATTTATACCCCAATTTCCCTCCCCCAATATTAGCAAAATAAGAAAATTATCCTACAATTAAAAAAAAAAAGTAAGATTTTCCAAGGTCCTAGGAAAAAAATATTTAATTTAATTAAAAACAAAACTTAGATCCTATGTATAAGTGTTACTAGCATTGTTTCTTCACCGGAATTAAAGTTTTACTTTGATAAAGAAGAATATTTTATGACACATAATACCAAGATAAAACTTCAATTCTGATTAAAAACAATGCTAAGAACATTTATACTACTGAGCCAAAGTTTTCTTCTCTAATTTATTGGATTACCATAGTTTGATGAACCTCCAAGTAACCCTCCACCAGAAGCTGCATAGACATCAGAAGGATCCACCATTGGAGATGAAGATGAAACCCCATTTCTTACAATCCCATCATTTCCATTTGCAACATTTCCACCACCACCCAAATGCAATTCAGATAGATTGGGAAACTCACTTTTATCCTCAACCCCATGATCATAGAGAAACCCTTTGAACACATGGCCACCAATTTTCACCACTGCTTGATAGGCATACTCATCATCCCCATCATCCACTGCAGTCACACGAACACACTTGAACACTGCTGGTGCACGCACTTGGCAAGGTAGTGGCTCCCTCAAACCCACATCTGCACCCAACTCATTCAACAAACCCTATTTAGTTCCACACAACAATCTCATTTAACCCATAAAAAACATTGAGTGAACTTGTAACAACACCAATTACTATAGTACTATAATACAACCATTGCTCGTATATATATTATTTGAAAACTGTATGTTATTATAATAGAAAGTATGAATCTAAAATTGAAAAGACAACAAAATGTCTATAAACACAAGGAAATATTTAATATCTAGTTAGAAACCTTAATGGCCAGGACATCCAGGCAAGAATAACTCATACCATAAACACAGGGTCCTGTGAACATAAGATGAGCTTTTAGATGGTTGATACGGGTGCGTGTGCATATATTATTCTATTATAATTAGAGTTTCACTTAGATGAATCTGTGCGGTGAAGTTTGCATTAATGTTAGATTACCAAACTAAAACTTCCAATTTTATTAAAGAAAAAACCCCTAGATCTAAGTTCTGTTCAATGTTAAACTCTTGCATAACCTTTGTTATGAAAAAATTGTCTGTTTCTCTTTGCTCAATATTTCAAAAGAGAAAGATATCTACAATTTATGTTTCATGGAGAATAGCTGCAGCTAGAAAAATGAAAGAACTTAGGTATGGTAGTCTTTTAGGACAATAATTGAATGAATTTTGAAAATAACAAATTAGGGAGTGGAAGGAATTACTCAAACTAAGAGTGTGTTTGAACACATTAGAGACAAAAACAAACCTTGGTGGCTAGAACCAGTGTCGAAACTCCGAGGAGGAGTGGTGGCGTTATTGGACGTGGAAGTATGCGAAGTGGTTGTGGTCTGAGAAGGCACGAGCCTAGGTTTCTTGGTGGCGGAAGTGGATCCACTGGACCCAACTGCTGCTGCTGTCACCGCCATGAGCTGGCGCTCTCTCCGTCGCGCCGCAGGCACCCACGTGCTCTTCACGTGTGTGGCGCAATCGAAACCCCTACTCTTGCAGCACGTCCTGCACCTCCTGTGACTACAATCCTTCTTCGCCTGGTTCCCGCAGTCCTGACACGTTGTCGCGCCGCTCCCACTCGCCTCACGCTCGTGCGCGTGTTGTTGCTGTGGCGGCGGAGACTCGTCGTGCTCTTGCCATAACTGAATTCTGTTACGGTGGTTACTCGCCAACACGCCGTCGGCGTGTTGGTGTTGGTGTTGGTGTTGTGGTGATTCCTGTGGTTGCCACAGCTGAATTCTGTTACGGTGGTTATTGATGTTTCCCATCAGGCCCTCGCTCTCGGGAGTGAGGCATGGCGTGGCGGTGAGGAGAGGGAAGACGTTGACGCCGAGTGCAGTTGCGTTGGAATTGTTGTTGTTTGGATCGGACAAAACGGCGTCGTTGTGGTTGTGGTGGTGGTGGTGGAACGACGACGCGGGCGCCACCACGAAGATATCGTGGTGAGGTGAAAGGTTGTGATTGAATGACCTCGACGCCCCTGGCCACATGACTGCGCCGCCGTGCGAGGCGGCGGAGGAAGCATTGAAGCCGAGAGAGAGGTCTTCGCCGCGGCCGGTGGCGGAGGGCGTCGCTGACCAGTCCGCAAAGGCACCGGAATCCGAAGGGAACCTCCTTGTAGTAGCCACAACTGAAGGTGTGTGTTTTTTCAGACAATCTTATTCTAATCAGATAAATGTAACCTTTGTCCCCACAACCAAAGCGTGATTTGTACCGACAATTGAGTTCGAGTAAGATAGATCAGTGTAGCATCCTAGTAGTAATCACCATTGAATTCGTAGTAGCCATAAATGAAAGTTGCTTGATCCTGCACGAATCAGATAAGATCAGTGGCACAATTCTGCCATCAGTTGATTCACACGTTTCTGATGTAAAATATGTGAATATTAATATAGATATATTTTTGTTGCGTCATGTAAAATAACTAGCTACAACTATAACAAGAACACATGTATGGGTTTATTTGTGTGATGACAAGTAACAAGGTGGTTATGATTGTCTGACTTAAGAAAAGGTGGTTGGATCTTCTGAGGGGTTTGGAAGGAAATCTATGTATGTGGGGGTATTTGTTGAAGGTGGGGTCTCTGCAAGTGCTACAGAAGGGGAAAGTATGAGTTTTTCAGAAGAGTGTAATGGAACCAGAGAGAGGTTTCAGATTCTGGTTTATCTGTATGCTACTGTCACTAACTCTGTGTTTGAAGGAAGTGAAGCCTTGGTTGAAGAGAGAGAGAAAGGGAAAATGGGGTTCTGAAATCTGAATGGTTCAGAAAAGGGCAGAGAAAGAGGGGCAGGGAGCAGTAAGAAAATGCAATAACAATATCAACATTTTGGTACCGTGAATCTCATTTTGTTGATGATGATCATTTCTCTCTCCTCATCATCATGAACAACAACAGCAGCAACATGTGGTTATGTGTTTGAGCTTTCTCCACTTACTCTGAAAGAAAACTAGAGGTTCACTTTCCCCCTAACTAGAAAGTGAAGTGAGCGTAGGGTGGGTTCTTGTTCCCTAACCAAAACTTTGTTTTGGTTTGCTCTCTCTCCAATTATGAGACTGATTGATATATGTCGAGTTAGAGAGAGCATAAAAAGGATATTTAAAGCGTGCATAAAGACCTTTGTTCTCTAGTTTTTTAAGTTTATGGACCCTGTTTTCTCTTCTAAAATCGCATGAGAAGGTGAAGCTAGCATGCACCCTTACATGTGGGCGAGGACTCTCTTTTCTCCCTTTCTTTCCTGTGGCGCTTGCCACAATTCTAACCGCTAGGCATGCCATCGAGACAGGTCGGGCATGTTTTGCCTTTCTATCTCCATCTTTGATTTTCTGTTCCTTCTTATCTTCAATTTATATTATTTTTAAAAAAATTATTATATTTTTAATAAATTAATTTTATTAATTTTATATATATTTTATATAAATAAATATTTATAATTTTATAATTTATAATTATTATTAATTAAATATATATTTTAATTTATTATATTTATATTAAAAAATATATATATAATATTTATTTATTTTTTATATATATTATTATTATATTATATTTAAATATTTGATTATATATATAAATTAATTTTTTTAAATAATTATTTAAAAATATATAAAATATATAATTTATAAAATAATATTTAATAAATTAGTTCTTATTTAATTAGTTTAAAATAATAAAAATTTAAATTATTAATTCTTTAATTTTTAAAATATAGTTATTTTATTAATATAAAATGTAATATATGACAAACTAAAATAATAAGATCCAAAAATTATAATATAATAAAATTTAATAATAAAACTTAATAAAGATAAATTCTATTAATATTTATATAAAATATTTAGAAAAAAATAAAGAATAAAAAAATTAATTTTATATTTATGTTAAAAAATTGAAAAAAAAAATAATTAAAGAGATTAGAGAAATATGAAAAAGTAAAAGATAAGAAAAAATTGAAGTAATTAATATAAAAAATAAAATAAAAAAAGATAAAAAAAATTAAAAAGTAGATAAAATAAAAATAATGTTAGCAGAGAAGGAAGAATAGAAAAATAGATGACATAAAACTTCTCCGTCTCTTGTGTATTTTATGTCGAGTAAATTTTTATTTATAGAGTCTATTTATAACAGACTTATTTACAAATAGCTAACAAACATGACTACTTGAATTAGTTACAACACTTCCCTCTAATTCAAGTACATGAATCAACCACACCCAGTTCAACTTTCAATCTTCTAAATCTATCTCTTTTCAACGGCTTGGTAAGTATATCTGCCATTTGAATTTTAGTAGAACAATGAAGTAGATGTAACCTTCCAATATTTTTCAATGTGCTTACTCCTACCATGAGATATAGGATTATTAGCTAGATTAATGGCTGATTTATTGTCCACAAACTACTTAATTGATCTTTCTATTTCCACTGTCAATTCTATGAGAATTGAGTCCAGCCATGCAGCTTGGCATGTTGCATATGCACCAGCAATATATTCAGCCTCACAACTAGATAATGCTACAACTGATTGCTTCTTTGAGCACCAAGAGATTGGTGCTCCCAAAAACATGAAAATGTATCCGCTGGTGCTCCTTCTATCTAGGCTATCTCCACACAAATCAAAATTCGAATAGCCAAACAATTCACCTTGCAACTGACCCTGTTTTGGAAATAAAATTCCATGACTCACTGTGCCACTGATGTACCTCAACACCCATTTTACAGCAAGAAAGTGTGCCTTCCTTGGATTATTCATGTATCTACTAATCAATCCAATGACAAATGAGATATCAGGCTTGCTATTGCAAAGATATCTTAGTGAGCCCACCATCTGTTTGTACAAGTTGTTGTCCACTTCCTCCTTTTCATCACTACATTCATCAAACTTCAAACTTATCTTTGCTAGAGTAGCTGCAGAGTTACTTTCCTCCATATTGAATTTTTTCAAATTTTCAGTGGAATATTTGTGTTGATGCAATATCATTCCTCTATTGTTTTCAACAAATTCCATTCCCAGCAAATATCTTAATCTTCCAAGGTCTGTCATTTTAAATTCAGCCATCAAGGTTTTCTTAAAAACTTCTATCTCTGTAATACTGCTCTCTGTGATCAATAGATCATCCACATATATGCACATTGTCAATAAACCAACTCCATTCTGATGCTTTACATACACACCATGTTCAACCGGGCATTTCTGGAAGTGATGTTTCTGCATAAACAAATCAATCACTTTGTTCCAGGCTCTAGGGGCCTGCTTCAAACCATATAAGGCTTTTCTCAGTTTGTAAACCTTGCCTGGACTGTCTTGAATCTCAAATCCTGATGGTTGTGTAACATACACATCTTCTTCTAGTGGCCCATTTAAAAACGCAGACTTCACATCTAGTTGAAACAAGGGCCACCCTCTTCCATTTGCCAAAGCCACAACCAATCTTATGGTTTCAATCCTAGCAACTGGAGCAAACACCTCTAAGTAATCAAATCCTTGTTTCTGTAAGAAAACCCTTACAACTAATCTGGCCTTTCGTTTAGAAATAGATCCATCAAGATTTTGCTTAATTTTGAAAACCCATTTGACATCAATTGATCTTTTGTCACAGGGTAATTCAGTTAAAAATCAGGTTTCATTCTCCTCAATTGCTTCTAACTCTTCTATCATGGCAGCTCTCCATAATTCTTGATGAAAGCAATGAGGGGGAGATTGATGAAAATGTTTCTGCATTCCCAAGAGATAATTTTGATGATGATTCAAGTCAACTACATTCAAGTCAACACCATTCAAGATGAATTTAAGGACAAGCTGATTTTATGACGTACGTGATAAAGATGATGATTCAAGCAAACCCAAGATGATTCCTGAAGACTAGATAGAGTCTTAGAATACTGGATATGGAGGTACAAGTTGATGAAGTAATATTATGCATAAGCCTCTAAAGCACAAGTGTGATAAAATTCATAACATGATATTTTTCACTGTCATAATTAATTATGATGCACCAGAAATGGAAAAATGATTTTCTCTATCATAATTAATTATACTGGTAATATAATCAATTATGGTAATTCAAATTTGAAAAATATATCCATTTTAAAGAATAAATGTTTTTGAATACATCCTGATTTTTTCTATGATATTATTAATGTCCAATGACAATTTTCTGATGCTATTTTTCTATTTAATTAATTTTTGATGAAAAATCAAAGACACACAATTACAAATTTTGAAAATACAATTTATATTCAATTAGTTTTGAGAAAAGAATTCTGAAAAAGGCAACAGAGATATTTTACACCTTTTGAGAAAACTCTCTTCTCTACTGTCTTCTGTGCTTTCATTGTTAATCACACTTGTTCTTGGAGATTGGCATTCTACAGGCTTCTACAATTTGTTGTCTCCATTACCCAGGTGTGTCTGTTCTTATTTTTATTACCTTCATCCTTTTTGCATTGGTTGAAAAGGAGGTGTTTTTCATCCCTAGTGTGATTCTAGGGAGGGGTTCATCCTTAGCGGGATTCTAAGGAGGTGTTTTTCATCCTTTGATTTTTTCAGAGGAGGTGTTCATCCCTAGTGAGATTCTAGGGAGGTGTTCATCCTTAGTGGATTTCTAAGGAGGTGATTGTCTTTTTAATTAGTTTACTTTTTACTGGTTCTTCTGCTGAGTTGATTGTAATTTGTAAATTGAATTTGAAAGATAGTGAATGGGGAGTCACTCTTGTGTTAAGAGTTGACTGGGAATTGGATGTAGGGTTGGCTATACCCGAACCAGTATAAATCTCTGTGTGCTCTTCTCTTTCCCTTATCTCTTTCTCTTTTCTTGATTATATTATTGCTTCCGCTTTAACAAATTATTGACTCACAAATAAATTTTAAATTTGACATCTATTTTAATTTGTGCATCTATTCACCCCCCTCTAGATGCCATTTGTCTAACAAGTGGTATCAGAGCTTGGTTAGATAAGATATTTCTAAACGATCTGTCAAGATGTCTATGCAGAATCAGGTTTACAGGGAAGGAGCTTCAATAAATAGACCACCATTATTTGAAGGAGAAGACTATCAGTTTTGGAAGGCGAGAATGGAAATATTTTTACAAACACTAGATTATGGTGTTTGGGATGTTGTACTCAATGGTCCCTACATTCCGATGAGAACAACGGAGTCTGGAGCTGTTCCAAAGACTTTTGATCAATGGACGCCGAATGAAAATAAGCGTGCCCATTATGATAAATCCCGAAATGCTATTGTTTCTGCCTTAACTCGTAATGAATTTTTGAGGGTCTCACAATGCAAGACGGCAAAAGAAATATGGGACACTTTTGAAGTAACACAGGAAGGAACAAATGAAGTAAAGCGAGCACGTAAGAACACACTCATCCAGGAGTATGAATTATTTCAAATGCAGAAAAATGAAAGCATCACGGATTTCCAAACACGCTTCACACATATAGTAAATCACTTGAAAGCATTAGGAAAGAGTTTTGACAATGAGGAGTTGAACACAAAGATCTTGAAATCCTTAGACAGGAATTGGCAACCAAAGGTCACTGCTATTACAGAATCAAAGGATCTTACAAAAATGAATATTGCTACTCTATTTGGAAAGCTGCAAGAACATGAGATGGAGCTACAAAGGTTAAAGAACGGTGAACAAAATCAAACCAAGACGATATCTCTAAAAGTAGAAAAATCTTCACAAGACGAAAGCGAAAATGAAGGTAAGTTTTCGGACTCCGATATGTCTCTTTTTGTTAAACAATTTTCTCGCTTTATAAAGAATAGGAAAAAGAGACAGCAAAGAAAGGAGAAAACAAATAAATTCCATTGCTATGAATGTGGAAAACCTGGTCATATCAAATCAGACTGTCTGAAACTTAAGAAAGAGAAGAAAGATGTGAAAGAGAAGAAGAAAGAGAATAATGATACCTATAAGAGCAAACGCAAAGCTTATATTTCTTGGGAGGATAATGATTCTTCCACAACACAAGAGAGTTCTTCCGAAAGCAGTGATGAAGAAGAAGAAGCAAATCTTTGCTCGATGACAAAAAGTAATGATAAAGCCTCATCACAGGATAAGAAATCGATCTAGTTTCTTGATAGCGGATGCTCTAGGCACATGACCGGTGACAAGAACAAGTTTGAAAGCCTCACAAAGAAGAGTCAAGGACATGTGACATATGGTGATAACAACAAGGGAAAAATTCTTGGATCAGGACAAATACAGGTAAGCAACAACTTCATGATTCAAGACGTGTTACTTGTAGAAGGATTAAAACACAACCTTTTGAGCATTAGCCGACTATGTGACAAAGGATTGAAAGTTATCTTTGAATCAGCTACATGCAA